CTAGTTATTAGAATGTACTCTTTGAGTTCACTGTTGCAGATAACAGCTATCTCATATGGTTTGGGTAGATTTATCTTTACTTTTCACATGTCAGCCCTGCCTTTTAATTATTTTATCTTATGCTCTCTCTATTATGCTCCATCTCCTTGCAGATATAATGATTTGAAATTTTGGAAACCCTTAGAAGCTGTGGCTGTTCCCATATTGTATGCCACAGGGCTGCCTTTTTATGAGGGCTGTATTTGCCTGTCAAACCTTCTGTTCATCAAAAGCAACATTTAAGGTGTATAAAATCATGCATGGTGTGGAGAAAGTTGAGAGGAAGAGACGTTTCTCCCTCTCTATAATAGGAGTGTCCAGGGTCATCCAATGAAGCTGACTAGTGGGAGATCCAGGACAGATGAGCAGAAGTACCTCTTTGCACAACACAGAGTTACTATGGCATTTGCTAGCATAAGCTGCACTGTTGGCCCTGCACTTGAGCAGCCTAAAACGGGAGTACAAATGGATGGAGAAGACGGCTATTTCTGGTGCTGCCGGTGGTGCTATAGTGGAGCAAGGCCTCACTGTGCCAACATTTTTACTCCCAAACCTCTGGTTCCCTCCAAGCTTAGCTGCAGTTCCCACAGTTTGCTGCTGCTGTTCTTGTGAATGTGCCATCCACTCATGGCTGGCTTATGGCAACCACATGACTGAGTGCCCTCCAAATGTCCCACCCTTGATTGCACTGCTCAGCCCTTATAAACTCAAGGCTGCACTTTCCTTTGTGGAATGAACCCATGCTTAGTCTTCCTCTTCTTCTGCCTTCAACTTTCCCTAGCATGATTGTCTTCTCCAGTGACATTCTTGCAGGAGCTGGGGTCTATGTATTTCCCCAGCAAAAATAGATTTCCTGTTGGAACGCAAAGTATTTTTACAGTAGCTTGGTCTTGTTGAATGGGCAATTAAAAGCTCTTTGCTTGATGAAAGCCCTGATCCTGGTGAAGGTAAAACTGCTTGTAGTGGAGTGTTGATATGCTACCTGTATTTTTGGGCTCCACTGGGGGCATGGCAATGAAAAAGGTAATGATTCGCACCTCTAATTCAAAATGTAGCACTGTACCACAAAATTTAGTACTGCTTATCCTCACTCTCACACATACCTTAAAAGGGTAGTTTCACAGGTACTCTGAACATAAAACCAAAATGTGCCTTTGCTGCATGCATTGCAGATTTTTGCATGAACCTGTTATTTGAATAGGGAACAACTGCTTCTAATTTGGATGACCCTAATTCAGGCATGTTTGATTTGGCCTAATGTTCAAATTCAAAACAAAACAAAACAGGGTTTATTGTTGTACATACTGTTCTGAAATATACATCTCTAAACACTGTAGCTGAGAAAAACAGTTTGATTAATATACTACCATCCATCAGCAGCAGATAAGACAAGATACATATTCTTAGCAGCCTGAACTAGTGGACAAAGTGGACAAAGAGAGAGGAAATTAACATTACTCATGTACACCACCAAGAAAATCGTGGGGGCATGGTTAATGTCCTGCACTCCAGGGAAGCATAGTCGGTGGTGAACTGAGGGATGGTGGGAGCAGAAATGAGTAATTTGAAGAAGAAGGGGAAGGAAGTAAAGCATGATATGACTATAGTTACCTGGCTCAGAGGAAAGAGAATCTGGAGAGCTTCATTTCCAAAGAAGGTTTCTCAGAGTTAGAGAAATGAGGCAGACACAAAACAGTCTTGATTGTCTCCATTTTAGCTCCGATTTACAGAATGTGCATAAAGTCACTTGATCAGTCTTGAATAACTGATTGGAAGTTGATAATTGCAAAATTCCTGGTGGAAGTTCTCCCCAGTGCTATTTATAAAAGAACATGTGAAATCTTTCTATCTCCAGTGTACAGGCCAGGGATGTCCTTATTCATGTAGCCAGAATGGTGCTACCCAGGCATAACAGGGATCATAGAATCATAGAATAGTAGAGTTGGAAGGGGCCAAGAAATCCATTGGGTCCTACTCCTGGCTAGTGCAGGATACCAATTTAAACCATCCCTCTCAAGTGACTGTCCAGTTGCGTCTTGAATGCTTCTAGTGTTGGAGAACCTACACCCTCACTTGGTAATTGGTTCCATTGTCCTACTGCTCTAACAGTAAAGGAATTTTTTCCTGATATCTAGCCAGAATCAGGCTTCCTGTAACTTAAGCTTGTTATTCCATGTCTTGGACACTGGGATGATCAAGAAGCGATCCTGTCCTTCCTCTTTGTGATAGACTTTCAAGTTTTTGCAGAGTGCTATCATATCATCATTCAGTCTTCTCTTCTTGAGGCTGAACATGCCTCGTTCTTTCCATCTGCCCTCACAGGGCTGTGTCTGGACCTTGGATCATACTCGTTGGCCTACTCTGAGCTTTTCTCAATTTGTCTGTATCTTTCTTATACTGTAGTGCATGGAAATGGACACAGGACTCCCGATGAGGCCTAACCAATGCTGAGGGAAGGGGAACTACTACTTCAAAGGATTAAGTTCACTTCTATTAATGCTGCCTAAAATAGCATTAGCCCTTTTGTCAGCCACATCACATTGTTGGCTCATATTCACTTTCTCATCCAAATCTTTAATAAAAATGTTGAAGACCACTGAGCCCAGAACTGAACCTTGTGGTATCCCCCTTTTTATTTCTCCACAGTTTGAGAAGGTGCCATTGATGAGCACTCTTTGAGTCCAATTCTGTAGCAAACGGTGGATGATCATTGTTCCATCCAGCCCACTTTTTGCTAGTTTGTTCATCAGGAGATCATGGGCCACTGTGTCAAAAGCTTTGCTGAAGTCCAGATAGATGATGTCCACAGCATGCCCAGAGACTATCAAGGAGGTTACCCAATCAAAAAATGAAGTCAGATTAATCTGGCAGCATTTGTTCTTGAGATATCCATGTTGGCTTCTAGTAGTCACTGCATTGTTCTTAAACAGTTTGCAAGCTGACTGCTTCATAAACTGCTGAAGAATTTTCCCAGGGATTGATGTCAGACTGACTGGTTTATATTTCCCATGGGTTTCATCTTTTCTTTTCTTGAAGGCAGGGAAAACATTAGCCCTTCTCCAGTCACCTGGCACTTTTCCTGTCTTCCATGATTTCTCAAAGATAATAGACAATATTTCTGATAGTTCTTCCACCAGTTCTAGAATTGAATTCATTGGGACCTGGAGATTTGAACTCAGCCTGTTTCCTATACTCTGGACATTGGTGAAACAAACAACATGGGTCTGCAAGAGTACCTTGTTAGCTGTCTTGCTCCAGAATTTCTGACCAAGGACCTGAAATGCAACCTGTTTCAGCCATCATTGCTCAGGGCAGCTGATGGATTTCCTGGTAAACATGCCAGCCTTGCCTGAGCACCAGGGTCACATTTCTATGTTTGGTTCCAGCAGATTCCACTTCTCATTACCCTTGCTATGCATGGGTCATGGATGAGCAGTAAAACCAGACTGCTCACACTGTTGTATATTCAAACACTGGCAGAACTTGTATTGGACTTCTCTTGTTTATGATGGTTCAGCTGATGACTAATTTCCTTTTTTCATTTATCAAGTTAGATCCATTGTGTGTGTGTGTGTGTGTGTAATATATATGTGACTGTTCATGAAGAATTTATTGGGCATTTGAAAGATAAATCTAAAAGCCATGTAATTAGTTCAAAATGACAAGATTCAAGAAATGCTTTATTTTGTTCATATGAGTACATGAACTTTGCAAGGAATTTGTAGATATTTAATTAACATTTATCAAGCTAGCCCAGAGCAATTTAAATATTAATTGTTCAAACAGTGACATTTAATGAGCATGTTCAGTGATAACAGACTCACATGACATGCAGCTGTTCAAAGCTTCATAACACATACTGTATCGAACATAATGGGAGACAAAGGCTCTCAACTCTGAAGTCTCTACTAAAGCATTGCCATCATCTGCCTGGAATGCCACTGAAGCAAATGGGTCAGCAAGGCATTCTGAGCAGATGCTACCCATGGCTAGCAAAGGAATCCCTACAGCGTTCAGTGGGGCTTTGCTCAGGTAAGCGACTATAGGATGGTTTCCTCCACCCTCACTATTTTCCAGGGCCTGCTTTGATTTGCCTTTGCAAAGAGTTGGAGCACTAGTAGTTTGGAGTTTTACTGAAAGGCCTTTTATTCTCATGAAAGGATTTCTCTTTTGTGAAATGATTCTCATTTCACATTTTCATCTCCAAAGCTTCTTGCCTCCTCTCATTTACGGTATAGCATGCATTTGTGCTTGTGAACACATGCGCACCTGCACACCATGTGCTGCCTTCTTCTTCAACGGAGAGCTAATAGTATTTAAGTGTGGGAAGCTGAAGATTGTCTCTGTGCCTCCATCACAAATCTATTGTCTCCCCATCATTACTTATTGCCTTTAAACCTGCTTGCTTGCTTGCTTATTTATTTATTTATTTATTTATTTATTGCACTTACATTCTGTTATATTGACCCGAGGACCCTCTAAGTGGATTACAATGAGTGACACTTGTATAAGTAATATTTATATGGATTGCATTTGTGCAATGGGTAATTTTATTCATGTTTCAAATGGGTTTTTGTTACAAGTCGTTAGGAGGGTTCTTGAACTGAGGATTGTGAAATACAGAGTGACACACACACACACACACACACACACACACAGCCAAACTCCCCACCTTATCTGAATCTACTCACAAGTAAGTGGCCTTCTGTCATCACACAGTGCATAGTTAAACAGTGGAATTCCCTGCCACATGAAGCAGTGATAGCCACACATTTGGATGGCTTTAAAAGGGGACTAGATGAATTCGTGGCTACTAACTACTAGCCTTGCTGGCCATGTGCCACCTATGCTATCAGAAGCAGCATGCCTGCACATACCAGTTGCTGTGGAGCCTGGGCAGGTGGAGGTCTTGTGCCCATCCTCTTGGACGGATCCCGAGGGCAGCTAGTTTGCCGCTATGCAGATGGAGTGCTGGACTGGGTGGATCCTTGCTCTGAGCCAGCATGGCTTTTCTTACATTCCTATATTCAGATATGCCTTTCTCCCCTATACATTTGCACAGAATTCTTTGGAACAGAGTTTAATTTGAGCATATGTTGAGGGACGGGGCTTTTAAAGCTTGTCTGTTCTGTGATGGGCACTTCACAAGCCCCCAGTGTTTGCGGCAGAGCTCAGAGCTGGCAGGCTTCACCAGCTTCTCTTAAAACAAGGGATGCCTCCCATGTGTGCTGGCTTTGTATGGTCAGGACTGCTAGCCTGCAGGCTGGAAAAGGCACACCTGCGCTTGCATGCACCAGTGAAAAAAGATGAGATCCCATCCATTCCAGTTCTGGCAGTTTGGGCCTGAATTCCCCCACCCTGTGGTCCCAAAGGGGGTTACTGTAGTGCAAGGGAAGGGGTGGGGGGTGAAAGAACCAAAAAAAGACTGGTGGCCTCATTCTGTATTTTGTGGGCCAGCTTGGTTAGACGTGTTCTGGGTTAAAAGACATCACACAACAATATCCACCACATCATCTTTTACCCATATATCAGAGAAACATCCCCTTCAAATGCATTTAATCTTCTACTGTTCTTGGACTAATTTACACAAAAGACAGACATAGTTTATTCACTCACTTAGATTTATGCAATAAACGGGGTAGGAATAAGATGTTAATGCACAATCAGATTAAAGGAGGAAATATGCTACACAGAATGAAGTCTGTAAAGAACGTTACATGTTCTACAGTAGTCTGAGATGCAAAGATCTGTGTCTTTAAAATATGATTTCCCTGGAATCAAAGCCACTAATGGAATTTGGAATCATCCTTGCCCAGCCAGTCTAGATTTGCAACAGACCAAAGAGAGGCGGGTGGAGGAGGACATATCTTAGCTTTATATTTTTGAACAGCTCAGATAAAGTGTTATGGAAGTAATTAAAGGGGTATGTATTGCCTTGGGAAGAAATGTATCTATGATGATTCATAATTTCAAGGCTGCATTTCTGAGTCATTGAAAAAGAATTGTGCCCTGCAGATTTCAGAACTCCCCAACCAATGCAATTTATTTTCATAGAACATCTATCATACGAAGAAGCCCAATGTGCTGTGCGGAGAGTGAAGTGGAAGGGAGAGAATATATTACCCGAGCTGAATGCAACAGGGCTCCATGAAATGCAGAGAAACAAAGTGAAGGGCAGAGCAAACGTAAAGCAGGAGAGCAAAGAGAAGCAGAGTGCAGTTGAATATGACTAGAGCGTTGGTTAAAGGAGGCCTGCCCCCATGGAGAATGTCTTCTGTTCCGTTTCATTCTGCGACACCTGATTATTCAAGCATAAATATAAGGAACCCTCTGGAAATAGGCCACGTCTCAGTCCAGACTTCTCAAATTTGTCTGATAGTGAACTTCCAGGAGTTCACAGGGATCCCTCTCCCTACTTCTCATGAGAAGAGGGAGGGGAAATACCTCAGAGGGACTCCGGAGGTTCATATGGAACAGAACAGAACAGGTAGCCTTAACAGAAGCAGAGTCCCCAGACTGTACGGAGTAATTATTCTGCTCTGTTCTATGCTGGCCAGACCACATCTGGAGTAATATGTCCAGTTCTGGGAACCACAATTTTAAAAGTACACTCTCTCTCCTGTAGGAGAACAACCAGGACAGTGAGGAGTCTGGAAGAGAGTCTGATGAAGAACATGGAAATAATTGGCTATGCGGAATCTGAAGGAAAAAAAATGCACACAGTGAAAACATGATAGCCCTCTGAAGTGCTATCACATAGAAGATGGAGGCGATGGCTTTCTCTTTTGTTCCAGAGGACAGATATAAAGATCTGGGGTGAAAGTTGCAGATTTTGACTTAGCATTAGCTGATGTAACAGCTCTTCATCATCTGCATGGAAGATGGTGGATCCTCTTTTGCAAGGTGCAATGAGGCAGAATCTGCATGGGCATTTAAGTCACAGTAGGCTGTATGCTAAAGTTGCAAGATTCTCACACTGAGCACGGGGTTGGTCAGGATCTGGCATGGGCAAACTGCAGCCCTGGGGCCACATGCTGTCTGGGCTTTAATTTCTTAGCACCACGATCATTGGCACCTCAAAGAAAATGGATTGAAAATAATTGCTGGTATACATTTTTAAGCAGTTAAATGACAGGTATGCTAGTATGCTGGTACATTAAGTCCTATTCTAAAAATCTTAAAAGCAAATGTAATACCTATGCTAATTTGAGAGGTAGAAAACAGATCTTCAGAAAATTGCAAATGTTCAAAGTCACTTTCTGCAGCTGATTTGGGGAGGGGTTCTAAATCTACCCCAGCATATTTAATCAGAGCTGAATTGAATTTCTGATTGATGCAGAATAAGTGGTTTATCAGAAGAAAGGCTTCCTAAAACTTGTTTGGAAGAAAAGAGATTCTCTTTGCTGAGAAATATTGGTTGCAAAAACTATTTGAGCTTTTCACAAATTTTGGGGGTATAGCTAGCAGCTATATTTTTAAACAAACAAACAAACAAAAAAGATGTAGGAGTGCAAATTGATATAACTGCGCTTGTTATCATTACAATATCCAGGTGGTTAGCTAGCACAAAACAACAGCCCCAATATGAGAAAACTTTGCCAATCTCTATGGAAATGGAGTATCAGAAAGAGTCTAAGAGATTTAGACATCACGGTCTAAGATATTACCAAATGGATGCTATGATGAAATGGGGCTCATATCGGGGCATCCCAGCAGAAGATCACTTGCTGTTCTACCGAGAATCAATCCTTGAGAATTTGGCCCATGATGTATCTGAAAGTAGGGTGATCCACTGACCTTTGACTCTGGCCCTGCTCATATGCTGAGCATATACACCCTGACAAATTACCCATGAGTGAACCCTAACCCTAATCCTAACCCTAACCCTTGACAAAAAAGACAAAGCAATTAAAAGGTGATCTTCAAGGTCCTTCCCAGCCCTAAGATGTTTTGATTTGATGATAACCTCCACTCATTGCTGCTTCATGGACTGTTTGGTTTAACTAAGAGATAGGACTGGAGGGTGTGAAGCTTTATATTTCCTTTAGTTCATTTGTAGCCTTTTGCTGACTCGGCATTATTGGAGTGCTTGCACACTTCCACAAAGCCCCCTGAAATAAATAAATAGATACATAGATAAAATACGTGTGTTTATATGATAAAGAAGTGGCTTTATTCACACACAGGAGTACATAGAAAAAGAACCTTAATGCAAACTTGAGCACTGTGGTGGGTGGGGCAATGTTTTATCAATGGTAAAGTAGAGAAGAATATCCCTTGTTTTGTGAGTACTTGGAAGATACGGTCACAACATCTCAGGGGGCTTCTATGGCCCGCATGGGCGTGCTTAGCCAAGCCTCCAATCTCTTCGCCATGACTTTCCTGGCACTTTATGACCCTTTGGCCCCTGTGCTTAGAATGCCACAGTGCCCTTTGGAGTACTGACTGGCATCACCCCCTGAAAGCTGTGGAGCTCCAACTCGGGTGGCGCAGGAAGGCCTCCCTCACCTGGAAGGGCACAGTTTAGGGGTGATGGTGCCACAAATTATTTTCCTTTTCCTTTGACAGTAGTCTCCCAGATCAGCTAAGGACTGTCCTATACAACCCCACACCTATGGTGGTCTGTCTGTAAATTTAAATAAATGCAGTTCTGGTCCAACTCATCCACTTTATTTGTAATTCATTGTTTCTTTATTTCTGGTTTCTTGGTACCAATTATATACAGGGACTATTGCTAAGGCTGAATAAGGTTTTGTTTCCTCATTTTTGATGAAAATGTACCAAGCACACATACATTCCTCCATACTGGATATGGAAAGAGAATGAAATTTTTAAAAAGAGTGTGGGAAAAACTGGTGGGGACAGATCCATTCATCCACACTTTGAGTTCTTAGTGCATAAATCCATGTGTGTGCAACCATGTTAGTGCTGAGTTGCCATCTCTTTATTCCAATGGGTTCTTCATTTTCTTCTTTGATCATCTATGGCAGGCAAATATAACATGGTTCTCTCCAGGCTGGATTTATTGAACATGGCCAGTACACATTCAATAAGTGACTTTTCCATTTGGTTTTGATATGAAATTACCGAGATTCTCACATTTCATCATATTCTGAAAAGGATCTTGGGTTTTTATTCTTTCAAGAATTTGGAAGACAGACTAGATGAACCTGACGGATTTGGCCACCCTTAAGCTTTGTAGAAGGGAGGGCGGATGAAAGGCAACCGTGGTGAATGTGCATTGCTTTTGGAAATGGTAGGACATACTTGGAGTGGTGGCGTGATGGGGGAAGGCTGAGGATAAGCAAAGGCCTCAAAATCCGTGGATTAAAAAATGGAATAATTTGCCCTTAACTGTTACATCTTTTTCATTAAAGGTTTATATTTTAGTTTAAAAATCAGGATCTGTTTTTATTCTCAAGAATAAAATAGGCAGCAAGAAAAGAAACCTGCACTATATGAAACATCTTATAGAGATGTTACAGAATACCAAATAATTGTTTAACAAGTAGCTGTCCCAGCACTTTGTTTTTCAACTCAAGGCACATTTGTTTTTCAGTGAAAGGGATAAAAATAGATAAGCCTGTAGATGTCAGTGACGTTTGCCTGTCTCTCATTCTGTACAGAGCTACAGTTTCATAATGCCTGAACTTTTAGAAATACTATCATCATAATGAAAGAAAAGGAAGTTCTGAAAGTAGTATTTAAACTGAGATTTGAATAAGACTGCTGCAGTATTGAAGTGGGCGATGGAACTGGGTCCTAAGCATTTTCTTTTTTCCTTTGATTGGCTATATTGTTTTGAAACTGTTCAGAAAGACAAAGCGTTTTCTGGATAAAAGAATGACAGGAAGAAACAAGTAATGTTATTGTCAGCCTTGGAAGGCAGTCTAATAAAAAAGCACGATAGCATTTTCATTGACTTTAACCAATGCTTCTGATGAAAAGCATCCGATATGTATCTGATTATTTCTCCCCAAGTACCAG